GGACTCTGTCCAGCCTGTGGGTCCCCAGAGGCCCCCACTGGGGTCTCCTGTGCCCACCCTGTCCGCTCCCGGCCTCTCACCTGGGCAGGGCTGGTCCCGTTGGTGACGGGTGACGGCAGTGGACCTGTGGGGACAGTGTGTCAGAGGCTGCCCAGCCCCCCACGCTCTACCACGTCCCCAGGCAGTGGCCCACCTTCCACATGCTCCTCGGTAGGTGTGACCCGTAGCCGCCTGAAGTGCTCGTCCGTCTCAGGGTCCACCACCAGCAGCCGGGCCTCGTCCTCTCGCGCCTTGATGCTGGAGACCACCTCCGCGTGGCGCAGCCCCTCCACATTCTGCCCGTTCACCTGCGACCAGCAGCACGGGGTCAGCGCTGCCTGAGGTCAGGCCCCCAAAGGCCCCCTGAGCCACCTGGCCAGGTGTGGCATCAAATATTCATCAACGTTGTCACCAGCCGTGGCAGCAAGAGGAATCCCAGCTCAGGTTCCCAGCATGTTCCCTCCTCCAGCAAGGACCTCCCTGCCCAGACACACACGCAGGGGACACGGGCCAGAGACACACTCGGGGTGGGGGACGCGGGCCCAGACACACACTCAGAGGACAGGGGCATAGACACACACACGTGTGTGTGTGTGTGTGTGTGTGTGTGTGTGTGACAGGTACCTCGATGAGTCGGTCCTGGGCGCGGAGGCCGGAGTGAGCAGCAGGCGAGCCCGGGTCCACAGAGCGGATATACTGTCCCGGCCGGGACTTGTCACTGTGCAGGTTGAACCCGTAGCCTTGGGGGCCCTTTCGCAGGTGGCAGAGCCGAGGGCGTAGCTCCCTGGGGGGTCCAGTGACATCCTGCAGGCACAAAAGACCAGGCTCCGCACTGCTCTCCCACCCCCCTTGAAGCCACCGACCCGGCCCCCAAGGCCTCTGGGCCCCAGTATGCAGCTGCAGGGGAGGTGGGCCAGAGGGATCCCCAACCCCACACCCAGCGGCCCCAGGTCTCAGGGACAAATAGTGCACCCGTGCCTGCCCCTGCCCCCTTAGGCTGCCTGTGACCGAGCTCCAGCCGCAGGTCCTAAGCAAAGCCTCAATTTCCAGATCCAAAAACAACTTCAGGACCAGGGGCTTTGCAGGGGTGCTGACAGAGTCAGCTGAAGGGCAGCGGAGAGCACAGGTGAGGGTGGTAGAAACCAGGTGAGATAGCTGCCACTCGTGACAGTGTCCTGGGGCCACTGTCCCTGGAGGCCCTGCCCGTGCAGCCCCTCCCCACCCCCTCCCCGAGTGCCGGGCTGACGTTGTCTGTTCTCCCAGCGGCCTCCATAGGCCAGTACGATGTGTTTGCTTTCACATTCCAGAGCAAGCTGCGGCCACCCCCACCCCCACGGGGCCCAGAGACAGGGCACACGGGCTGCAGCCAAAGCCAAGTGAGAAGGCCAAGGGTGGGACCTGCCCTCCTACCCTCCCAGCCAGAACACAGAAGGCCACTAGTGCCCCCAGAGTCCCCCCACCCTGCCTCTGACAACCCAGGGCCTTGCCTCGCTTTACCTCTGGCATCCTGCAGCAGGGCTCCGGGTCAGGGGCCGTGCAGGCAGGGGCCGGGCCCCAGGACCCCCACCCAGCCACAGCCTGGGGCAGTGACCGCAGTGCCGAGTGGCTAGCGGCTGACGGTGCTCAATTAAACATGGCCGGTGGCCGGAGTGCGCGGGCGGGCAGGCAGCTCAGGTTTCCCGGGACGCCCAGGACGCCCGGGACTCGAGTGTGCCTGCAGGTCAGTGTGTGCAGGGTGGGGGTGCTCCCGGGGGCCCCTCCGTTACCCTCCACCTACCCTTGCCCTCAGGGAAGGTCTCCAGGCTTTGGGCACCTGCCTCTTGCAGCCCAGGCCACCCCCTGACCACTCCAGACCCCAGGCCCGTGAGCTTGTTCCAAGTCTCAAACCTGACTGTGAGTGCCCTAACCTGCTAGTCGGCCCGGCTGGAGGACTGAGTACAGCTTTTATCACAGGGCAGGTGCCCTGCCCAGGCTCCGGGGCCCCCTGCTTGTCCCAAACACCCTCTTCCTGCCCAGCCTGCACCCCTCCTCTGGGACCCCGGTCCCCCAAGCCTGCCCAGACATGCCCTCCGGATCCCCACTGCAGGCCACTACCTGGCCCCATGACCCCAGGAACTCAAACAGGGCTACAGTTCCTTGGTCCCAGGGCTTGGGCTGGGCAACATGGGCAGAACGTATGGGCGTGAGACCCCCAAGTTCTCCAGGGCCCTGTCGCACAGACTCATCCGCTCTCCCAGACACACCTGGAAGTGCCCGTCCCTTGCGGGCTGTCAGAGCAGAGAGGCCCTGAGGCTGGCTGGTCCGGAGCAGGGCCAGGGCCAGGGTTACGCACATTTCGCAAGTGCACATGCAGAGGCACGCGGTCAGAGACGGGACATCTAAACACACACGGCTCACAAACACGCTACCCAGCGACACGTGCGTGCGAGGACAGCCCAGCCCCCTTGGCGCTACAGACTCTTCTCACGCCCTCCACAGCGACCTCCCTGGCAGGTCTCTCAAGGCCCCCAAACAGGAAGCAGGACTGCGGGAGCATCTGGGGCCACTACGCCAGGCTGAAGTCACATCCGGGTTTGGGACCATCCTGGCCATCTCCCTGCCTCAACCCGGCTCGGCCACAGCTCACCACACCAGCCAAGAGGCTTCTCCTGAAGTCTTGCCTAAATTCCCCTCTTGGATCCAGGGACCAACAAACCCGGCACCGGACCCTCCAGTTGAGAGGCTGGGACGCGGGGGACCAGGCGGCGGAGAGGCCCCAAGGAGAGGCCCCGAGAAGAGAAGAGAAGCAGCAGGTCAGGAGGGGGCGCAGGCAGGCCCTAGCGCATTGCTCAAATTCCTCACTGCCTGTCCTGGCTCCAAGCACTTCCTGCCGCCTCCCAGCCAGGCCCTCGGGCTCCCACGGGCTCCCACGGGCCCCTGGCCGGGCAGCCCAGAGCTGGACAAGCCCTGGTCTCACAGCCCAGCCCGCGACCAGACAAAGAAGCTGGCATGGGGGTATACCCCCGGAGCTGAGCTGTGCCCCCTCCCCCCACATGGTGACTCACCAGCCCTAGCAGAGAAGGGCCCCCATTGTTGCTCTGGGTCCAGCCGGCTTGCACCAGGGGGCCCCAAGTGCCCTCTCCTGACCCTGGGGGACATGGGCTAAGCTGGTTGCCGGGGTCCTCTTGGTCCGCGCTGCCCCCACCCAGCCCCCACCCAGCCTGACCTGCACAAGCCCCCAGGATGGGCTCTGTGGAGGGGCTCCTGGAGCTGGGGCTGCTGCTGTGGCATCCCGAGAGCGGGCCATGGGAGGCAGGACAGAGTGACAGGCAATAAGCGTCCAGCTGGAGAGGCCTGAGCTCTCTGGCCAGCCCAGGCCACCACCCCATTTATCCACCTCCCACTGTGGGCCCCCGGCTCCCCAGGGAGGGGTGGGGACAGGGGCACTGAGTCACTTTGGGGAGCAGGGTGGTGGCTAGGTTCCCCCTCCCATGCTCGGGCCCCAGCTAGGCACCCCCTACTGGCTAGCTTTCAGTCTCAAGAAAGGAAGGAAGGAAGCTGCTGGAAGGCCCTGCCCTGCTCCCAGGACCCGAGGCTGGGGGGACAGGGAGGCAAGGGAGGGGACCCCGGCGCCAGAACGGAAGACAGAACAGAGCCCTCTGGTAGTTACCAGGTCCCATGCCGGGCCACCCCCTGAAGGACTCTCCCCCTTACTCACAGCCCCTAAGGGCCTCCAGAACAGGGGTGGGGGCCCGGGGTCTGTCACCACCTCCACGGCCCTGGTGCTGCGAGCCGTCCCGTCTGTTTGGGGGCTGTCCCCTATCGTCACGGTCGGGATCAGCTGCGCTGCAGCTGCAGGGCCACCCGAGCCTGGTCTGGCCGGGGCTGAGTCACCACCACCGACTAGGACCCCGCAGCACCCCAACGGGAGGGGCCGGCTGCATTAGTGGACGCCGCAGCCGGCATGGAGGAAAGGGAGCCATGACTCCCAGCTTGGCCCTAAGCAGACCGCATGAGTCCCACCTGGTCCCCCTGCCCCACTGCACAGGAGCCCTGTCGGAGCGTGGCCCCGTGTGTAAGCATCACCCTCCCAGGCACCCTGACAGCTAGTTAGTCCTGTGCAGGTCGGCCAGGGCCCGGCTCTTCCTTCTGACACTCTGAGCTCAACTGATCGGACACCGGGTCTCTGGCCGGGAGGCTGTGGGGGTACACCCTGTCCCCTGGGCCTCCCCTGACCTTCTGGACTCCCTGTCTCCAGGCCAGCCCCCACCACAGAGCCCCTGCCACTCAGGCCCCACTTTGTTCCTCTAAAAATACACCCAGAGGAAGCCCCCTCCTAGGGCTTCCTGTAGCTCCCAGAGCCTGAAATAGCAGAGGGGGAAGGTCCCACCCAAGGACAAGGTGCCTCGACACCCCACCCTCCAGATAAGGCCCGAGGGCGGATCTTTCCACAGGAAGGCGAATTCAGCGTTTGTGTCTAACTCAATGGATAAACGCCTAGGGGGAAGGGCACTTCCTCCTGAAGGTAAGATGCCCGAAGGAGGCCCTACTCCAACCGTAGGCCTGCAAGGCCAGGGGCCCGGGCCAGCCAGCGCCCCCTCCCAAAACCTCCTTGAAAGCACATACCTGACCCTGATGCCCCCTACTCGGGCCATGACCACCCCCGAGGGTTCACGCGCAGACCTGTGCGCATGCTGGCTTCCCACCTGAAAAGCCATCTGCCCCCCAGGACAGACACCGTAGCGTCTGGTCACCAACACCACCAGCTCACACAGGAGGCATGCGCACCCAGAAACCCTGCACACACAGAAACTTCAGATCTCACGCCACCTAGGGCAACTGGTTCTCAAAGTGGGATCTGGGGAAACCCCTGGGATTGGATCCCTTGAAGACATTTCCCTTGGGGCACCTGGATGGCTCAATCAGCTGAGCATCCGACTCTTGATTTTGGCTCGGGTCATGAGCCCAGGGTCGTGGGATCGAGCCCCGCGTTGGGCTCCGTGCTCAGATTCTCACTCTCTCTCCCTCTGCTCTTCTCCCCACCTCCTCTCAAATTCAAACAGACAAACATAAAAAGGGGTGCCTGGGCAGCTCAGTCCATTAAGCGTTGGACTCTTGGTCTTGGCTCGGGTCATGGTCTCACTGTGCTGACAGCACAGAGCCTGCTCGGGATTCTCTCTCTCCTTCTCTTTCTGTGCTCCTGCCCTGCACACACATGTGTTCTCTCTCTCTCTCTAATTAAAAGAGAGAGAGAAAGAGAGAGAGTTTTCTTTAAAAAAAAAGGCAAAGGGGGCATGAGGGACAACAACCTTGGGGCTTCAAGAAGGCGGAGTAAGCACGATGAGGCTCTTCCTCTCGGCCTCCCCCAGGGGGCCACCCCCAAGTTCTGCCACCCGGAAGGAGGTCCACACGCACGTTAATTCCAGCTCTTCCCTGGAGTGGAGGCAGGAAAGGAGAAGCACCCCAACCGCTGTAGACCCCAAGCTGAAGACTCAGCTTAGAGCATCCTCAGCTGTCCCCAACCATGCACCGCCCATGGGGAAGGACCAGCCCCTCCCTCCCAGGGCCTTCCCAGCACAAGCAGGCTCCTCAGACAGACAGACACCTGAGGCCAGCACAGAGCTAGGGACGCCCCCTCCTGGGGGACCTCTCCTCCCAGGCCCCCGGGCCCCTCGGCCAGGCTCAACAGAGTGACCTTTCCTAGGCCAGGTAGCTCTGATGGGCATCCTGGGGAAGAGGGTTGGCGATGGGGGGCCAGGGAACAGGGCCAGGCTGCCCTGACCCCACCTGGCTTAGAACACAGGCTGAGGGCAGAAAGAGTGGCCCCACGTAGCCAAGAGGGTAGTCTCCAAGGCCCCGGAGAGGGAGAAGAAGGGATGGAGACAGAGACTTCTGGAGGTGAGCGGAGGGGGAGACCGCCTGCCGTTAAGAGGCGGAGACGGCGGAACCTGCCATACCTTCTGGCCAGCCTTGGAGCCGACGCTGCCGGCACGTGCCCAGTCCGGCTTTGGCTCCCAGGGGTCGTGGATGGGCGGAAGCCCTCGGTGGGCCATCTCCTCAGTGCAGGTCAGCTGCCGCCTGCGGAGCTCCTCGTCCGTCTCCTTGTCCACCACCAGCAGCCGCGTCTGCGTTTCCACAGCCTTGATCCTCTGCACCACCTGGGGCGGGCAGGTTGGCGGGGAGCAGGTCAGCGGTCAGCACTCTGGGCAGCACATGGACGGTGGCACCACCCAGGGCTGGCCCAGGATCACGGGCAGGCGGCTGGCCTGCCAGCAGTGGGCGGCTGGACCGAGAGGCCCGCCGGCTCCGCCCTCCACCCCCGGGGGCTCAGGCAGCTCCCTCCCTCTTTACCCAGGACGCCCGACACAGGCTGCAAGGACTACAGGATCACTGCAGGGACTCGTCTCAGCCCAGGGTCCTGTCCGAGAAGGGCCAGGAAGCTGGATGAGGCAGCTGGTCTGGAAGGTGGTGCGTGGCTGAGCTTCAGGGTTTCAGTGTGTGTGCGCGTGTGCACGTTGCATGCGTGCATGTGTGTGTGCACGTGTGTGCAGGCATGCATCCATCTGCCTCAGGGTTTGCCTCTCAGTCTGGGTTTGAGGGAGCAAGGGGTCTCCCTAGGTGCCAGTCTTGGGGGGGGGTCTCTGCCCACTGCTGCTCTTTTCAGTAGTGGACCACGGACGTCTAAACTGCGGCCTTGGGGTGCCTGGGTAGCTCAGTCGGTGAAGCGTCCGACTCTCGGTTTCGGCTGGAGTCATGATCTCACGGTTTGTGTGAGTTTGAGCCCCTCAACGGGCTCATGCCAACAGCGCAGATCCTGCTTGGGATTCTCCCTCCCTCTCTGCCCCTCCCCCACTCATGCTCCCTGGCTCCCTCTGTCTCAAAATAAATAAACTTAAAAATAATAAGTAAGTAAACCCCTGCCTCTGAGCCTTCATTTGCCTCTGAACCATGGCCACGGACCTTTTCCTGCTGGACCTGCAGAGAGGGGAAGGCCTGGATTCCTGCGGCAAGGCCCTCGCTCGGGTACCCACACGCAACCTGGTAAACAGGGTTCAGACCCAGCAGGCGGAGGCCACCTGTGGGACAACTGTGACGCTATGGCCACCTGTGCGTCTATGTGGGTGCCCGCAAAGCATCTACATCATGTGGGTGACCATGGGGCATGCGTGCCAGGGTGTGCCCTGCAGGGAGACAGAGCAGTGACCACTGGGCATTGGGATGGGAAGGACAAAACCCCCACCCCCACCCCAAGTCTTGGGGGAGGGCAGAGAGGGTCCCGTCAGCTGCTCAGAAGTCATCGACAGATAGGAGGGTGTGAACCAGGCCCATCTTCCCCCCGGCCCCCCTCTGATCCTGCTCTCTTAGTGAGAGCGACAGGAGGACCCCAGCACCCTGCCACTTCCTGCCTGTGGGACCCAGACAAGACACACAATGTCCTCAAGCATCAGTGTCCTCATCTGTAGAATGGGAACTGTAACTGCCTCTCTTCCCTCCTGGGACAGCATGGGCCTGCGTATAAACTTAGAGATGGACCCCCAGAGGCCTGAGAGAAGCAGGTGCCCTTGGGGCAAGGGCGGCAGGGACTGTAAAACTGAGGCCAGATACCAGCTCTGCCAGCCCCTCCCTTGTTCCATCCAGCCAAGACCTCTGGCCCACACCCCCACCCTCCTTCAGCAAACTGCTTTATCCAGCTCACACTCTGGGTTAAAGACAGAACGGAGGCAGACAGATGGACAGACAAGGGCCCCAGGGGTAGACACAGCAGTTCAGCTGCCGGTCCAGCCAAGAAGCCATTTACTAATCTCTAGGCCCCAGGGCTAGCCACGCAGACAGGTCACAGACTCACAGGTGCTGGGGAGGACACAGAGAACCCTGAGCAGAAGGGGTGGAGGGAGGCTGGACTCAAGCCAGGTGACTCCCTGGCAAGGGGGGGATAGATCGTCCCCAGGAAGCAGAACTTGCAGAGGAGAGACCCTGCTTTCCCTCTGGCCCTCATCTCTAGCTGCAGGAGGCAGAGGGCCGGGGCAGTGGCCCCCGCAGGGCTGGGCAGCCTCCAACGAGACACCATCAGCCAGGACACACACGATAACTACACATATCCAGGCAGGTGGACACACAGGCTTGGACACACACACACACACACACACAGGCCTATATATTCACACATACACTGTCCAGCACCCAGAGCCCAGCTCACACACACACATTCCGGCATGCAGATCTGTCCACACATATACACCTAGGGGTACAGACCCGTATATTCACACACACAGTCCACACGTGCGCACGTGCACACACACACACACACACACTCGCTGATACAAGCACATACAGGTGTGCCCTTATTGTGACACCCTCTGTACACCCAGGCAGATGTGCACACACATGGGTGACCCCCAGAGGGACCTGTACACACACATACCCAGCTGTGTACACACGCACGTGTTGACACTCACAGAAAAACACTCAGGGCCCCCAGTTGCACCGAGACGCCCCCCAAGGTGACGGACGCCTCCATTCATTGCACACTGAGGCCCTAACAAGACTTAAGTGTCAGGGCCGAGGGCGAGGAGCCGCAGTGCAGGCCCCTCCCTGCCAGGATGCCCCCTCCGCGGTGCAGGACCGAGCTGCCTGAGGGGCAGAGGCGAGGAAGGAGGCCGGCGGCCTCCGTGGCCACTTCCCCCACCTCCTAGCCGGAGTCCACGCAGGGCCTTTGCGACCCCCTCGGGCCCCCGGGCAGGGCGCCGAGCCCTGGGGGCAGGCAATGCCGAGAGCGGCGGTCGTTGACGCCCCCCCCTTCCCCCCCGCCAGCTCGGGGAGGGGGCCCAGCGGGGCAGCGGGCCGGGGGCGGGGCGCGGGCACCCACCTGGTGATGCGTCTCGCCCTCCACGTTGACGCCGTTGACCTCGACCAGCCTGTCTCCGGCTCGCAGCGCGGCCGCCTCGGCCGGGGAGCCGGGCTCCACGCGCCGGATGAACTGCCCGCGGCGGCCCTTCTCGCCGTGCAGGTGGAAGCCGTAGCCGTGCTCGCCGCGGACCAGGCGGCACAGGCGCGGCCGCAGCGGCTCCGGTGAGGCCATGACGCCGGCTGCCCACCGGCCGGCCGCGGGCCGGCCACGGCGCTGACGCCTGCCGCGGGCAGGCAGGGGCGCGGGGGGCGGCGCGGAGGCGGCAGCGACGGCGCTGGGGACCCGGCGGCGCCCTCGGCTGCTCTCGCTCGGCTCTCGTCGACTCGGACTCGGGCTCCGGCTCCGGCTCCGGCTGCGGCGCCGCCCCCGCGCCCGCCCCTTCCCCGCCTCCTCCGTTCGGCCGCCCCCGCCCCGGCCACGGCCCTGCCTCGGCACCCCGCCAATCCCGGCGGAGGCTGCGGGGCCTAGGGACGCCCCCCTCGGTCTTGCCCCGACTCTGGACAGCCTCCCTGGCGCCAGCGCCTTTGCCTCCTGTTCCAGGGGCATTTATTGAGCACCTACTGTATGCGTGGCACCAAGGCGGGCTGTGGAGGTGGGGGGAGGAGTGGAGAAAGGGTCTTCAGGGTGAGGAACGGCACACAGCGGCCAGAGGGTAAGAACAAGAGCCACAGCTCTGCCCACCATCCTCAGGAAGTTTCCCCCACTACACACACACACACACACACACACACACACACAGACACCCCGGTGTCCCTGTGTCAGGATCCCTCCTGCACCCAGAGCTGCCCTGGCCCAACAGAGTCCCAGGATGGTCCAGAAGACAGAAAGAGGAGTTTGAAAGTGACAAGGCAGCAGCCCTTCCCTATATTCTGGAGGCTAGTGACTGGGCAGTGCCCTGGCCCTCCCAAGGAGACTGTGTGGACCTGTGCTGGGCACGTCCATTAAACATTACCCCCCACACTCCTCTCTTAGCCTGGGCCTCTCACTTGTGCCCCTGGTCATCCCAGGCAGAGATTAAATGTACTGAGGCCTTTGGCCTCTGACCTCTGGCTGGTGACCAGTGCTCACAGAAGCTGTTCCCAGGAGCTGACCCCTGTGATCTCTGCCCCAGCCCTCCCCTCCCTCTGTCCTTCTCCCCTAGCATCTAGCCGTCCCCAGCAGGAGTACCCCTTCCCCCAACCAGACAAAAATGACAACAGAAAACCATTTATGCTTTGTTGTGGCTCTGAGTACACTTTATCTGGAACAACCCCAGGGTGCAGATCAGGGAACCAAGTTCTAAAGAGGAATGAGACCCAGGCGAGGTTCCCTGGCTCCTCTTAGGGCAGGGCTGTGAGATGCCAAGTCCACACTTTACCACCGAGCGCTTCCCCAGCCTCGGATACAGGAAGACAGCTGAGCTGCAGGCTCCCCCTCAGCCTGCCCCTGCCCCTTCCCAGCCTGCCCAGCCCCCTGCACATACCTGGTTCCCCGGGCTGAGGCTTAACCAGCCCAGGCAGTTCCCCATGGGGACAGAGGCAGGCTCAGCTTGGGCCCAATGCTTGCTGCTCCTTCTCCCCTCTCCAGTGCCCTCAGCCTGGGCTCCCAGCCTCCGCCCGAGCACAGAGCCCTCCTCTGGGCAGCCTCCTGGGCTGCGGCCCCTTGGGTGTCCACACCCCAGCTGCTGCCCCTAAAAGCCACTTAGGCCAAAGCTGCATGGCTGCTTCCCCACCCCCACCTCTAAGTTCCTGGCTGATGCCGCCATAGGCGTCTGTCTGCTTTTCTGTCCAGAGGCTGCCTGTCTGGCCTGTGACTGGCCTCTCCGGACCCAACCTGGTGCTGCTGCTCCCGGTGGCTGTGAGGATGGGTGTGGCAGTGCTGTGTACTATATAGTATTCCTGATGGGGCTTAGGGGTCCCCCCATAGCAACCAGCACCAGCCAGGACCTGCCAGGCTGTAGCTTGGGGTCACACCAGCATCTAGGGAGGTGGCTGGATGGGAGCCCCCCAGGCTGGGGGCAGAGAAGGTAGGAACCCCTGGTCCTCCGGGTTGGGAAGCTTGGACATCTCCTCCCCCCCACCCCACCCCACCCACACACATAGGACAGACACTCCCGGGATCAGCCACTGGCCCTCACTGCCTCCCGCAGCCCAGGACTCAGCCAGTGAGTGACGATGGATGGGAACAGACCACCACGGGAGGGAGGCGGAATCAGGGGTGGGTGGTCATAGTCAGGGGCCAGGAACACCGCTTCACAGCATAACAAAAGGCAAGAAAGTAGAGTTAATAAGGGAGGTAGGTAACACCCCAGAATAAAGGAGAGCTGCAGGTTAAGTTCCAAAGGGGGAGCAGGAATGGGGAAGAGGAGCAGGGGAAGAATGGGGGCCTGACAACAGAGGCAGGGAAGACAACCCAGCTGCTCTCCTGGGCAAACTCTCCCATGCCCTTCCTCCAGCCTCTGGCTGAGAGAGAAAAGCGAGACAGAGAAACAAACCGAGGGAACAGCATGGACAAAGGCTCAGAAGAGCAGACAGAAAGGTGTTCAGGGGCTGTAAGCTGTTTGGGGTCTCTGGCGAAATGGGCCAGAGAAAGTGATCATCTAGGCTGGCAGCAGGGGGAGGTCAGGTGGGAGGTGATCCCCACGCCCCGAAGCCCTCATCCCACTCCTGCCACCTCGCCACACAGGCCTTGTGACAGGCGGAGACGGAGACCTTTCCCGGGGATTCCCTCCGCAGAGGGTCCGCCTGGGGTGTGGGTTGGCCTGGGGCTCCACTGGTGGGGAGGGGGCTTTCCTCCGAGCTCTGGCTACCTCCCAGGGGCAACGCCCCCAGCGATGGGCGGGGCCTGGGCCTGGGCGGGGACTCTGGGCTGTGGCAGTGGGCTGAGGCCTGGTCCCGAGCCAGAGGAAGGGTCGGGGGCCCGTCTGTGGGGTGGAGCCATTAGTCTGACGCCCCGGTAATGGCCCAGAGCTTCCCGGGCCGGCGCTGCCTCCCTAATGGGCATTAATGGCCCCAGGGGATGACAGGACCTCGCTTATGGCCTCCTCCCTCGGACTACGCCAGGCTTCTCTTCAGAGCTCGAAACTGGAGCAGGCGGGGGACCAGCGCGACGGAAACTGTGATGAGAACGAGAGACCCGGAGACGAGAAGGGGAGAGAAGGGGAGAGAAGGGGAGAACCGCGACGACCACCGAGGGAGGCAGCGCAGGAGCCCGCCCACCCGCTCTGGGCCCGCCCACGCCCCTGCTCCCAGGGAGACTGCAGCCCGAGAGAGCAGCCGCGCAGCGCCACCTGCTGGCTGTCGCTGGGATCGCTTCATCCGAGGGGCTGGCCCAGGCCCCGCCCCTCTGGCTCCGACTCGGTTCGGCCTCCCGGGCTGGGTGGAGATTAGAGCGGGAGCGACGCACTAGGGCTCCTTGTACTGCAGGGGCACGGGGGTGCACGTAGGTGGTGGGCAGGGAAGCTGGGCCTCTGCCAAGTCCCTAATCGGGGAGTTTCACCTTGGACCTGGCACCAACCTCTCTGGACTGGGGTACCTCCAGGCCTCGTGAAATCTAGCGTCTCACCAAGGGTTCCGGCACTTGTGACCAAACATTTACAGGCCACTTGGCACCAGGCGCTGCTGAGCACTGGGGAAACATCGCTTAGATCCAAGGGCAAGCCCAGGACTGGCACAGCCCTTGAGGAGGGCATTTAAACATGGCCTGAGGCCCCAGAGTCCTTCTTCAGGGTGGACCGTGGGGCTGTTCTGGAATCTGCCCAGAGTTCCTGCTCTCTGTGTGAGGGAGGGGAGGGAGCAATGAGACCGCGGGACAGGGCAGCCTTAGACTTTGTGCACGTGGCACATGGATTTCGTGCCATCAGTGGTGGAGAGCCCTTGAGGTGTTGTGCACAGGACACGCGTGTTGTGAAAGACCAAGTTTGGCAGGAGTGGACTTGGAGTGCAGAGAGTGTGTTGACCTGAGGAGTCAGGTGGCTGCCCCTCCCCTCAGTGCAGATCCTGGAATCAGAGTCAGTAAATTTAGGGGTTGGTCGGGGTGCCTGGGTGGCTCAGTCGGTTAAGCGTCTGACTTCGGCTCAGGTCATGATCTCGTGTCTTGTGACTTCCAGCCCCGCGTTGGCCTCTGTGTTGGCAGCACACCTCCTGGAGCCTGCTTCGGATTCTGTGTCTCCCTCTCTCTCTGCCCCTCCCCTGCTGTCTCTCTCTCTCCCTCAAAAATAAAAAACATTAAAAAATAAATAATAAATAAATAAATCCAGGGGTTGGTAAGAATTGGGAGGGTGGAGTAAAAAAGAGCACCCACGTTAGGGGACCACGTGGGGAGAAGGATGCATCCAGGAGATGAGGAGTTGCCAGTAAGGAGAGACGGGGGCTTCCAGAGGCCAAGGGGAATGTGGGGGCCAGTTCTAGGTGGGCCTGTCGAAGTTAGCTGGCCCAACAGGCATGGGACCACCCCTCCTCCAGTCCTTGCTGGGTGCCCCAAGGGAACACCTTGCCAAATGGCCAAGGGAGGGCTCCGGGAGGCCGACAGTATCAGGGCACAGCAGACAGGCACTTCGAGGTCTGGTCCAGAACAGTTGTGGGAGTCAGAGCCCATACTGAGGAGGGTTAATGAGGGAGCAGAAGGGTGGAGGGGCCCTGGCACCTGTGAGCAGGATCTATAAGGGGGCCCAGGTGGAGGGAGGTCCTTATTCAAGATGGCAGAGCACATTTACATGGGGCTTGGAGCCAATAACTGGAAATGTGGAGAGGATCAGAGGGGGAAGGGTCTCTGGGGAGGCAAGGGGCCTTTCCTCCCTAGGAGGAGAGGGTGGCCTGAAGAAGGGGTACAAAGGAGATCGTGGCTGAAATGAAGCCGGGAGATGGCGGAAAGGCTGGGTGGGCTGCCAGGGCTCCCGAACCTGGCCAGGGGCCACAGTGAGGGGGGGCACTTGCAGGGCTCCTGGGAGGCTGAGGTGGGGGCTCTCGCTCTCAGCTGGTAGGGTATGAATGCCTACTCTCCTTTCTGGTGGATGGCATCAGGACCCAGGGGCTGACTCGTGCCTACCTCCCATGAGACCTCTCCCCTCCTGTGGGACCCTGGGACCTGGTCTGATGACCCCACCCCCAAATAGGAGGGGCAGTACTGGCAGAGAAGGGAAAAGGGGACCTAGGCCCCAGCAATGTCTCTGCCTCTGTCCCCCCTTCTGTTCCCCAAGCACTTACAGTTGGGAGATGGTTAGGAGCGGGCATCCCTTGGCCAGAGAGAAGGCTCCTGATATTTGCCAGGGCGTGGGTGCAGCTGTTGGTGCCCTAGAGCTAGATGCCAAGTACACATCACAGAGGAAAGGGGTCACACACGGGGACACATGAACCAGGCAAATTTATTGACCAGTCGCTGTGAGCCCTAGAGAACTAATGTATTCTGCCTGGGTCAGGAGAAAGGGCATTGCCAGCAGGGGCGGCGCTCAGGATAGCCCTGGAGACGTGGGGTCCGGCGAACGCGGTTCTCTGGGCAGACCGTGGCTGAACAGGAGAGTCTCCCAAGGCTCTAGAAAGAAGAGCAGGACCTCGAGGACAGGGCTGTGCGCCCTCCACTACCCACCCCCCACGCAAAACGTCCCCAAGGCTGGGAAGGGTAGGACACTCCAGGGAAGCCTTTCTCCCTAAGGAGTGGGAGACAGGAGAGTCGTGGGGTGCCTCGTGGGCATGTGAGTGGGCGCACCGGGCTCAGATCTCCCCAGACGTCCTCGCCCCCTTCTCCCCACGTACCTGGCCTGCTCCGCGGAGGAGCCCTGGCTCCAGTTCCGGCGCGCGCTCGGGGTGGCGCCAGCTCCAAGGCGCACTGACCCGGAGCCCTGCGCGCGAGTGCCTTCGGGTCTCCAACAGTTCCCGAACCCCAGAGGGCAGCAGAAGAGCACCTCGGGGGACGGGCGCCGGAAGGAGGGTGTCTCTGGCAGATGGCTCCTGCGGGGACGCGCCCAGGCCCTGGGTGTCCGAGGCAACGGGTCCGGCAGCGAGCGCGCGGCGATGCATGTAGGGCGAGCGGCGCAGCCCCATGAGCAAGCCCGCGGCGCGGCCCACCGTGTGGTAGCGGGGACTCGCCACGTGCTTGTACCAGGCGTCAGCGGGCAGCGACAGCAGCAGCAGCAACAATGCGAGCACCGGCCGGCCCGCAGGGCCCCGCACCCCCGTGCCCCGCGCCAGGATGTTCACGTGCACGGCCGCCCGGCGGGGCAGACCAGGAACTAACGCAACCGGGTCTCGGCGCCCTGCGGGGACTGCGGCGGCGTCGGGGAGCCAGAGCGCCGTGGATCCGACTATAACCGCTCGCGGGCCCCGCCCCTGCTCGTCCGGGCGGTACCCGCCGGGCTCCCAAAGGAGGGAGAAGAGAGGCCCGGGCTGCCATGGCAAGGACGTGGGTGGGTTATCAGGGCACCTTCTCTGAGTGGCGGTGGGCCTTCAGCCAGAGCTCATCTTGACGATCCGCTGGGAGCGCCCTTGCCGTCCCCTCCCCCAGGGAGCTGCTCGGCTTCCTCCTCCCCCCAAGTAGAATGGGTGCCCCCTTAACCACAGCTCTTGCAGGTTGTGCACTGAAGAGGAAAGACGGAGGCTGGAAGAGCCCTCTGCATCATTCGAGAACCCTCTGTGGATCTACTTCCGGGAGGGCTCTCTTGTCCCCACCTACGTAGCTCTTCAGTCTGTCCCCTACCCCTTCCTCTCCTCTCCCACCCTCGATTCTGCCCACCAACCCACTTCCCAGCTGCAGCTGGATGCTTGCAACCACGAGTTTGGCCACATGGGGCCCTCCCTGAGGTGCTTAGTGGTTCCCTAGGGCTTCCAGAATCAAGAGGAAGCCCCTCTCGTCCGGCAGCCCTGGCTTGGGCAGGATGAGGCCCTGTGGCCCTCTAGCCTGCTTTCTGGTCCCGATTCCCCCCACCCAAGACCATTTCCTCTGGCCAGTCTCCATCATCTTTCTGCTGTACCCAGCAACCAGTGATTCTGCCCACCTCTGCACTTCTGTGCCTGGAACATCCTTCCCTTCCTTGCCATCACTCAGGATCCCGTCTACATGGCCCTCGTGTGAATAGTCGCCGAGTATTCCTTCCTGGCTACAGGGGTTTAACAACCCCTTCCAGAGGGCAGAGCCCGACCCGTTCTTGCCAGAGCCCCAGCCCAGGAAGGATGCAGCCCTCAAAACGATCCGACTTCACCGCACCCCCAGCAACCACAGCATTCACCTAACACCTTCTAGATTCCAGACACCAAGGATCCTGAAATGTCTTATTTTTATCTCCTAACAATGCCATGAAAGTAGGATGATTATTTCTTTTAAGTTTGTTTATGTGAGCTATGCACCTAGAGTAAAGCCCAAGGCGGGACTTGAACTCAAGACCCTGAGATCACCTGAGCTGGGATCAGGAGACAGACGCTTAACCGAGTCACCTAGGCGCCCCAAGGTTTTACTTTTTTAAGTACTCTTTACACCCAATGTGGGGCTCGAACTCACAACACTGAGATCAAGAGTCACGTGCTCCAGTGACTTGAGCCAGCCAGGCGCGCTGAGGAGGGTCAATTATTGACCCCATTTGCCAGTGAGGAAGGTTAAGGCACCAGGATAATGGACTTGTTTGGATCACACCTGCTGGGTAACGGTGGGGCGAGTGGGCTCCAACCTAGATCCCCAGGTTGGGGGTCTGAGCTGAAGTTCTTGACGGAAACTGTCCCTCACCCTCTGCCTGTGTCTTTAGCAAAAGGGAAGGGGTGATTCTGGGAGTTGGAGGGAACAGAGCCTGGGCCAGTCCTTCCTCCCAGGTCTCCGTGTCAAGGGAGCATCGTGGGGCTGTGGGGGCAGAGGATGGCACCTGCTGAAGGGAGGAGGGGCCCGACACGGTTCTGGCAAGCTCTGGGGGGCAGTCAGAA